TCGCTGCTCAGCACTGGTACAGACACCCGTTCAGCTCCAACCTCCCTGACCTTCTGGGTCACTGTTCTCTGCACTGGTCCCATGCTAGGACTGCGGATACAGAGATGAGAAATGGGTCTCTTCTGTGGAGTGTTGGCTGGGAGAGCCAGCTGAGCAGAGGGTCACAGCACCCTGTGGGGTGAGCCCGAGAGGGCGCCTTGGGGAGAAGCTTCCTGGCGGGGATGCCTAATCTGCATGGAGAACCCGAGCAGCCATCCAACATTGTACGTTCCCTCCGTTTGTCTCACGGTTTCGTGAGGCTTCCTCCCGTTCACAGAGGAGGGCTCTAGGGCTGAAACTTGTCATGTCCACAGAGCTTGCACCAGGTGTGTTGGGGGCACCGAGGCAGACAGAGGGTGAGCAAGCTACGGCAGGTAAAGTCAATAAGGGCATGTTGCTCTATGTGGCAAAAGCCTGAAGCCAAGAGGTACAGACACCCTCACCCCGGTGAACTGAGTTTCCTGTGGAGACAATGGCCATATTGGCTCGAAAGAGAAAATGTCCCTGGGCTTTCATCATGGGTCCCTTCCCCTCCAGGCCTCCTACTAGGGAAGGTGTTCAGTTCAGCAAGGAGATCCTTCCTCTTGAGGCCTGGACCGTGGAGATGGCTGAGTCCCAGCCAGGCCCTAGGAGAATGCCCGGATGCCACCAAGGAATCTCTGCACTCTGGCAGGCAACGGCCCTGCATCGGCCCAGGATGCCCATTCTCTGAGCATAGGACAGGATGGGCTTGGCCCGTACATGCTACAGATGGGCGCTGTGAGTCCTGTTCCCTGATTATGCGATCAACACCAGCACAGGCACAGCTAGGAAAGCTCTCTGCAGGCGCAACTGCAGTGGCGAATAGGCTGCCCTCATAATAAAGACATTACCTTGGACTATCTAGTATAGTGTCTAGGCCAGGGGTCCTCAAACTACCGCCCGCGGGCCACAAGCAGCCCGCCGAGGACATTTATCCGGCCCGCCGAAGACATGTATCCGCCCACCGGGTGTTTTTGCCCCGTTTGTTTTTTTACTTCAAAATAAGATATGTGCAGTGTGCATAGGAATTTGTTCATCTTTTTTTTTAAATCATTTTATTAGGGGCTCATACAACTCTTATCACAATCCATACACACATCAATTGTGTAAAGTGCATTTGTACCTTCACTGCCCTCATCATTCTCAAAATATTTCCTCTCCACTTAAGCCCCCGGCATTAGGTCCTTATTTTTCCCCTCCCTCCTCCCTCATGAGCCCTTGATAATTTATAAATTATTATTTTGTCATATTTTGCCCTGTCATCTCTTTTTTTTAAACTCTAGTCCGGCCCTCCAACAGGTCTGAGGGACAGTGAACTGGCCCCCTGTTTAAAAAGTTTGAGGACCCCTGCTCTAGGGTGTTAAGAATTTACTAAGGGCCATCCAAGACACAACTGGTCTCAATGTGCCTGGTACAACAGAGGAAGGATGCAGAGTAGGAGGATGTGGTATATGTACCCAGTGGCCTCCACAAATAACGGCTTCTTTTCACATGAGACCAGTAGAACTGGATGGTGCCTGTTACTGAATAGTTTGATCAAAGGTTACATAGAAGAATCCTGCTCAAAGGGGGAAAAGAACAGAATAGAATTTCCATGCATGGAACCGACCATTCAAAAGGTAACAGACTTCCTTGTTGTGAGGTGCCATTGAGTGGATCAGACCCGGGGAAGCCTGGGAGGGCAGCACGGTCATGTTGGTTTCTAGGCTGCGAGCTTCATGGGAGATTACCAAAGCTTTTCCCCATGAAGTCACTAGTGGGTTCCAACCACCAGTCTTTTCAGTGCCTTGCAGAACATGTAACCAGTGCGCTACCAGGCTACTTGGGCACCTAAAGGGGCAAGAAATGGATGTTGGTGGGGAAGGAGCCACTCAGAAAGGGTGAGACCAGACACAGAGCTGGAAGAATGCAATCACTGTCCCTCAAGGGCCGCCTCCCGGAGGGACAGCAGACCAGCCGTCAATCAGGGGACAGCGGTGCTGGCACACACAGGTTCGGCAGAAAACACTGGCGAGCAGGTGGGGCAGAGGAGGGCATGGTGGATAAGGCCAGGGGGCTGGCATCACTGAAGCAGAGACGAGGAGGTGCAGGCACACCTCCAGGGCCTTCAGGACAGCACCCCTCAGCCCCTGGCCTCTGGGTCCACATGCCCCAAACTCAGAGGAAAGGCAGGCTTTTATCTCAATGAGAACACCCCATGCCTTCTATAAACGGCTGAATCTCCCCCGTAGTTTGTAGGCCAGCCTGTTGGAGGGCTGTGTCACCTGGTACCTGGCACAGCATATAACTCAAGTTAGCCTACAGAACAAATAAGGGGGCGAGGCATGCTCCAGAGAGACTGGCCGTGTTCAAGAGAACAGGGAAGGAGGGGTGTTCGGTATACAGAACTAGGGGTCCAGGCCTGGGGGCCCAGGAAAGCTTGCTGAGGGATGGCAGGCAGGAGCAGTTTCCGAGCTCCCTCGGGCACTGGGCTGCACTGTGACAGGCCACCTGGATGCAGAGAAGCAGGCCCTGGCCTGAGGTGCTCACTCTGTAATGCGAAGACATGCTCTACACTCCTCTCTGGCCGGGCTGGTCGCAGAGGCCTCTGACTGCTACATGGGAACAGGAAGGATTGAGAACCGCTCTACCAGGAAGGGGGCTCTCTGGGAACCTCGGGACCTGTCTCTGCCACCACTGCTGGGCTCCCAGTAGGTCTCCTCCTTCCCTAGTACAGTAATATTACTAGCAAACATTCCTTAAGTGCAACGTGCTTTCTGTTGATTGATTCATCTAATCCTCAAAACAATCTTGAAAGCCATACATGCCCTTATTGGCTCATTTAACAAAGGTTGGACTGGTCCACGGATTTTTGTTTTGTTCTGGAAATAACACAAGAAATCCCAATGTACAAAACAGAGACACTCGAGGACCCTGCGTGGGGAGGGGCTGTTGATGGAGCCCCTTAGCTCATCGTTTTTTGCACAAAGACCAGGGAGTCTGGACAGTGTGCATCAATGCATGTGGGGCTTGGAACTGGCCCTCTAGATTACTGGCAAGATTGGTTTGAGTGCCACTTGGCTGCCCTTCATCAAAGGGGAAGCAAGAAAGCTGTGGGGAAATTTTTGAGGCCTTACACCATCCTCCACGTGCTGTTGACATTTGTTATGTCTGGGGAAAGCAGGCTCTGGGTCTGAAGGAGACCTCTTACTTCTGGATGGACCAGGGTGGGGCTGTGAGGACACAGGAGAGCTGCCTGGCTGCTCCGTGGAAGCCCCTGACAGCAGAGCCTAGCCCCTCCTCATACTTTGTGGAGACGCTGACACCTGATGTGGGCCTCTGACGGCCACTCCCTGACTGGGCACCTAGTGCTAGTGTCTTAGCATTCCACAGCCTGGCTGAAGAGGACGGAGTGGGAGCTGAAGGGCAGGAAGGGCAGCCAGCCAGGGCTTTCTGGGCAGGAGAGTGACCAGGTCAGAATCTTCCCAGGTCTGCCCAGGTCAGGGAGGGGCATTCCACATCTTAGACCTGCTGCCAAGAGGCCACTCAGGGCGGCCTTCCCTCCCCAGGAAATTGGACTCCGAGAGAAAAGGTGAACTTGCCCCCGGTTTTTCAGCTGCTGGGTGACTGGGCCTAAATCAAAAGCCAAATTTCTTGACCTCTGGTTCAGTGCCCTTTTCCCCAACATGGAATAAGGCTGAAACAGAGCAGACAGTCAACATGAGAACTAGGGTCTCTAGAAACCCCTCATCTGAGTCCCAATTCTGCTCCTAATCTACTGGGTGACCTGGGGCGGAAAGAGCCCCTCTCTGGGCCCCAACTTCCTCACCTGGCACTATGTCTTGGAGGCCTTGTGGCACTTGTCCTCAGACTATGCCCCTGGGTCAGGACATATATCCTGAACGCCGGGTGTTTTTGCCCCACTTGTTTTTCACTTCAAAATAAGATATGTGCAGTGTGCATAGGAATTTGTTCAGTTTGTTGTTTTTTTTAACTAGAGTCCGGCCCTCCAATGGGTCTGAGGGACAGTGAACTGGGCCCGTTTAAAAAGTTTGAGGACCCCTGCTTGTGAGATCAAGCACTCTCTCCCGAAGCTAGGATCCACTCGGCCCGGAAAACCCCTCTATGTGCTCAGCACTCTGCGCAGCCGTTTCCCAGGCAGCCTGGTCCTAAGAACTCCCACGCCCTGCTGCTCCCCCACGGGGCCACCCTCTAATGCAGCCAAATACAAAATGCGCCTGGCGGCGAAGTTGGGCTGCCGTCCACTGGTCAGCAGTTTGCAACCAGCCGCTCCGCAGCAGACAGACAGACAGACAGACAGACAGGGCTTTCTACTTCGGTAAAGAGTTAGTCTCTGAAACCCACAGGGGGGCAGCTCTACCTGGTCCTACAGGGGCGCTGGGAGTCCTCATCAACTCGGTGGCAGGGAGCTTGCCTTTGGGGTCTGCAGGCGCCCCGGGGCCAGTTCCCAAGGAGCCCAGGTAGACCACGGGCAGCCCCGCCCCCGCCTGCGGAGGATGTGAGCTCACTCCTGCCCGCCCCCCGCAGCTCTGCAACACCCCCGCCCCGGGCATTTCCAGGAAACATCCGCCCGAGGCAGCGACCGGCTCGCCCGCCACCTCCGAGCTGCGGGCAGCTGGCCAGGGCCGCGGGCCTGCACGACAGGCTGCCGGGGGCGAGCCGGGCCCCCACCTGCAGCCCCGCTCACCTGAGCCCGCCCGCACGCCCGCGGCCGGGAGCCAGGGGCGCGCACGCCACGCCCCCCGCGCTTCCGGCGCGCGCCACGTGACCGCGCGCGCACGTGTTCCGGCCTCTCGGCGGCGCGGGCCGGATCCTGTGCCCCGGCGGCCGGCTGGGTGCCCACCTAGGACGGAAGCGGACCGGGCCGGGCCGGCGGGCGGCGGGGACCCGGCCCTGTCTGAGCCAGGGCGCCCCGGGAGCAGCCCCGCGGGCGGCGGTCCCCCGCCATGAACCCCAGGGGCCTCTTCCAGGACTTCAACCCCAGTAAGTTCCTCATCTACGTCTGCCTCCTGCTCTTCTCCGTGCTGCTGCCCCTCCGCCTGGACGGAGTGATCCAGTGGAGCTACTGGGCCGTCCTGGCGCCCATCTGGCTGTGGAAGCTCACGGTCATCGTGGGCGCCTCGGTGGGCGCGGGGGTCTGGGCCCGGAACCCCCGCTACCGCAGCGAGTGGGAGGCCCGCGTGGAGTTCAAAGCCATGTTGATCTCCGTGGGCATCCACCTGCTGCTGCTCCTCTTCGAAGCCCTGGCGTGCGACAGGGTGGAGAGAGGGACCTACTTCTGGCTGCTGGTCTTCACGCCGCTCTTCCTCGCGTCGCCCGTGTCCGTGGCGGCCTGTGTCTGGGGCTTCCGGCACGACCGCTCCCTGGAGCTGGAGATCCTGTGCTCCGTCAACGTCCTGCAGTTCATCTTCCTCGCCCTGCGCCTGGACAGGATCATCCAGTGGCCCTGGCTGGTGGTGGCCGTGCCTCTGTGGATCCTCATGTCCTTCCTCTGCCTGGTCGTTCTCTATTACATCGCCTGGTCGCTTTTGTTCCTCCGCTCCCTGGCCGTGGTTGGGGAGCAGCGGAGAACGCACTTGACCATGGCGGGGAGCTGGATAACCATCGTGGTGCCTCTCCTCACGTTTGAGGTCCTGCTGGTTCACCGACTGGACGGCCACAATGCCTTCTCGTATATATCCATATTTGTGCCCCTTTGGCTGTCGCTAGGGACGTTAATGGCCACGACGTTCAGGCGGAAAGGGGGCAATCACTGGTGGTTTGGCATTCGCCGGGATTTCTGCCAGTTCCTTCTGGAAATGTTCCCGTGCTTGAGAGAATACGGGAACATTTCATACGACCTGCATCACGAAGCGAGTGAGGATGCTGAAGAAACATCAGTTCCAGAGGCCCCCAAAATGGCCCCAGTGTTTGGAAAGAAGGCCAGGGTAGTTATAACCCAGAGCCCTGGAAAATGTGTCCCCCCACCTCCCAAGTTAAGTATTGACATGCCAGACTGAAGTGCGTTTCAAGGCAAGGCCCCTAAGTGGCCGAGAAACAAGACAGACTCACAAACTTCACCCTTTCTCGCTCCATTCCAAACCCACAGCTGCAAAGGGACCGCCAGCCCTTTCAGCTCAGCGTGCTTGATTTCGATGCTTATCAACACGTGCCATAGACTTACGTAGACGTGTTAATTTAGGGGTGTGTGTGGTGTGTGTCCATGTGGGAGGAGCGAAGTTGGTGCTTATTCAACTCTCTTCAGTTGTTTCCGTCATTAAAAGGAGTAACTGCACGGCTATTTGGCTTTGTTTTTAAGTTCTAATATACCTATCCAAGGTAGTAGTTTGAGAAGGTTTTTTCTATATATATATATATATATATAATCTATATACTGCTTGTCTAAAATTATATTTCAGATTGTTCCTATTGTGACATAATAGCGAATCTAAAGAATTCTCTTTCCACCCTTATTTGTAAACCTCCTAATTGTTATTTTCACTGTGTCTAGTGTTAAAACTAGTTCTTTGGACTTTGTTGATTCTGGTCTTAATATCTTATGAGAGGAATCTTTTTCTGTCAGTGAAACCATGTTGATATAGTATTTACCTGAATATTTTGCAATGTGGTATGTTTAGTTCTGGATCTATATAGTACAGTGTGCTGTGTGAGAATATTTTTTTCTAAGTTTTTATGAGAAGCTGTAGTCTATTACAGTTATCCTTAAAAATGATTTGAAACATGAATATGCATCCGGTGTGGAATCTTAACTTCTGTAGTATGGAATCTTAACTTCTGTAGTATGCATGAGCAAAAGAATTCAAAATCGCCTGGATCTTAGAAGTCAAATGGTAGGTGACTCTAGTCTGGCAGTTTTAAGTCAGAAGAGAAGCTCCACCATCCTTGAATAGGTGTCTTGCCAACCGAGTGCTAGGGTGGCACCAACCACAAAGCGACACAGTTGCTTCCTACCTTGAGTTTTCACACACAGTAGTGTCTCTCTCGGAGGCAGCAAAACAATAAGTGGTTTGTGATTTTCGGGACTCTTGAAATATTATCTGACTGCAGTTGAGAGCAGCCCTGGCCGCACAGTGGATGACCTGTTGAGCTGCTAATGGCAGGGTGGAGAACGATAAGACTTTCAGTTCCCATCCAGGTTTATAGCTCCAGCAACCCTAGACAGAGTCCCTGTGAGTGGACTCTCCCCACAGCAGTGGGTTTGTGTTGGGATGGGTAGTCTAGAACGTCGCTATCATTTGAACGCTGTAACCAAACAGGCCAACAAGGTCAGGCATTATTTTAAGGTTCAACCCTAACTTTTTGATCCATCAGCAGTAGGAAAACAGAATAACTGAAATCATCTTTTAAAATGAGGACAATGTTTCTTTAGATACTGGTGGAATCTTGGGAGGAAGGACAGAATCCAGATCATAAGCCATATTGAGATCACATATCATTTGTTATTGTTAGTTGCCATTGTTGATTCAAAAGGAACAGATGGAAGTGGTTTTTACAAGCAGCGTTTTATAAATTAGATCAATTCAACTGCACATGAATAAAGTAACTGGACACTTAACCTATGCCATGGACACATGTATCCAGTTTAGAGTAAAAAGAAAACATATTTGCTTGTTTCAGCCCTAAAAATAATCCTTACTAAACTATAGAATGCTTGCCGACGGCCACCCCTGGGCTCATGACCCCCAGCCCCTTGGGGGTACCACAGCCCGGTGTCATCAGACTTGAGCGGGAGACCTGACAGGCTCGCACATCTGTCAGTTGCCACAGCCATCCAAATGTGAGATGCTGCCCTAAGCGGCAGGGGCTTTCCTCATTCATTTGCTCACATGTTTATTATCTGGAACCGATGAGCCAGATATGGCATCTAGATAGTAAACATGCAGTGGAAAATGATCCAAAGATGACCCCTGCCCACCCATAGTTTCTAGTTAATTGAGCCACACTTCCTTAGGACAAGGAGATGGGTCTTCACAGCTGCCTGCCACTAGGAAGAAATATACCAAAGACAAGTTATGCCTAACTTGTGACCCAAGAACTCCAGACCCTCACTCCTTTTCTGAACCTGTGCCCCCGTCTCCTCCCATTTCAGTAAGATGCAGGTGTCCCTGGAGGAATGAGGAGTAAGCGGACCGGCCCCTCCAAGCGAGGGGCTTGCGGACACCCAGGACAATGTCTCCAACTTAATGCCACCCTGCCCAACCCTTCCCCTCTCCTCTTTACCCAATATGGTTTGGAGTGTGATAAACTGCTCTGCTTCACACCCACCCCTTTGTACGAGGGCAAGTCACACTGCCAGCAATTACAGCCTCTGCTCATGCTTAGTGAATTTTAGTCTATTTACATTTAGTTGGCTACATCCCTGGCCAAGCCCACCACTCATGGGGTGGGCCAGCACACCCCTCTGGTGTGATAATACATGGCAGCCATTAGCCCATACATTTAAAAGGTTAAAATAGAATTTTAATGATTAAAAAAACCACTTCCTTTGAGTCTACTATGGGGGTACCAAAAAAATGATAAAAAGCTCCCCTGGGCGGAGCTTTTGTAGGACACCCTCAACCCCAACCCCACCACCACTAGGCCAGCATCACCCAACTCCCTCTGAGTTAGTGCACCCAGTGGTGTCGCCTGGGAAAGTTCTCTCCGCTCACAGGGAACTTTCGTAAAAGCAGTTTTGCTCAAACAGCGTTTTTTTGTGACGGCTGATTTAAGAGAACAGCATGAGGCTGTGAAATTTTATTTCCTGCTTGGAAAAAATGCCACAGAAACTGTTGTGATGTTGAACACAGCTTACAAGGACAGCGCTATGGGAAAAATTCAAGTGTACGAGTTGTTTTCTCATTTCAAAAAAGCTGAAATGTTGACCGATGACAAACCTCGTTTTGGAAAGCTGTTAACTTCCGAACAGATGAAAATGTCGACGCAGTAGTGCATTTGGAGTTCATTCCACCAGGTCACACTGTTAATCGAGCTTTCTATTTAGAGGTTCTGTAAAGACAGCAACACGTGTGAAACAAGGAAGGCCTGATCTGTGGCAGATGAGGGACTGGTTTTGCCACCATGACAATGCACCTGTTCACGCAGCCATCTCAGTACACCACTTTTTGGCAAAAAGACTACATGCCTCTTTTGCCCCATGCACCTGACTCACCTGACCTCATTCTGAGAAACTTCTTTTTGCTTCCTCAAATGCAGAGGGACATGAAAGGACAGCAATTTGATGACTTAGAAGAGGTGAAGAAGAAGGAAAAACAACGGAGGTGCTGTCAGCCATCCAAACAAATGCATTTGAAAACTTTCCAAAAATGGAATCGCAGATTTGACAAACGTATTAAGTGTAATGGATAATATGTTGAAGGTGATATGGGTGTTTTGTAAAGAAAAAAATTTAAATACATAGTTTGGGGAGTGGGATTCTGGTTTTCTGGGTACCCCTCATAATTGGACTCACAGTGACTCTATCGTATAGAGTAGGGTAGGGTCCCTGAGGCTGTAAATCTTCAGAGTGGACTGCCACATCTTTCTCCCGGGAACAGCTGGTAGTTCGAGCCACCAGCCTTTCAGGGAGCAATGCAGTGCTTAATCTACTGCAAAAGGCTGGAAACGGTGTCTCAGAATTTGTAGTCGAAAATGTCCCCTCTGTTTTACAAATAGTCTGTAATTGCTCAGAGGTCATTGGGATCTCTGGTGGGAGGTGTGGGGAGAAGATTGAGGCCGGGGAGGGAGACCTCACTTTCTGCTCTCTTCTGAAACCAGCGGAGAGTTGCTGAGTTCTCCCCACAGGGCAAGTTTTTATGGTAGAGCTACGCCCGGGGTGGGGGTGGGGGTGGGGTGTTTCTCTGGAAGGCTTGAAGATGGGTTGGAAAGGATCAGTCTTAGCACAGGAAGGCCAGCCAGGTAGGAAGCCCTGACAATGGCAGACATGCCTCAACATCAGTCTAGATAAGGGCCAGCCCACCTACTACCCCCCTGCTCAGCCTTCCCAGGGTCTTGACATGCACAGGAAAGGGCAGGGCTCGCAGACATTACCCGTAGGATACAGGTAGTCCAAAGTGCATTAGCCTGCAGGAGCCAGGCACAGTTGGAGGGAAACACAGTTCAGGTCATGCCTCAGTAGCCACCTGCAGAGGCTGCTACTGCTGGCACCATTGCTATTGGCTACCCAGCCCTGTCACCAGTGTCATCCCCACTGCTGAGGGTCACTCTCAGTGTCCTCTGCCATGAGTTCAAGACGGCATGCTGCATTCCTTCTGTGCTTCCAGCGCATGGAAAGATGATCGACCTTCAGCTCTAGGAAGAGGTGGGACTTAGCCACAACTCAGTGGAGGACTTGCCAAAGAAGAAGCATGTTCAGGTGCTAGGTAACCAAAGATACCAACCAAAGGCCACCATCCAATACTCCCTTGACCGCCTAACATGCCACTTCTCGTATCAGAAACAATGCCCCCGTGCAGCAGAACTGTGGTTTGTGCCCTCTCTGAAGGAGGATGGAGACAACCCCAACCTGCTTCATCAGGAAATTCACCCTGCTCCCAATCTAGGATCAGTTGGTATCTCCTTTTCTAGTTTTGCCATGACTACACACACACACACACACACACACACATACAAATTCTAGAATTGGTGGCTTAAAGCTGGCTCCCGTGACAAGTCTAGGCCAACATATTGTACCAGATTGATGCAGAAGCAGCTATGAGGATGTCGCTGCCTGCTATTAAATCACACATTAAAAAACACAAAAAATGCCATTTTTCTTCTCAGTAAACAGTTTGTTCAGAAAACATGGTTATTTTAATAAATGTGAGTTTTACTAAAATAGAGTGGATCTATTACTTCTTTAAAATGGATTTGTAAATAGTGTTGCCACTGGCTTTAATTTCTTAATATGGGTGTGTTTGTGTGTAAAATTACATCTGACCTATGACTGCACAAGGGAGAGTCCTAGTCAATAGGTCAAGGCAGACTCCTCTGAGGACCTCCTCCATCCCCCATCTTTATCAGTTCCAACACCAGACATTCCTCCCGTGGCATGAAACTGCTGGCTTCTGTAATTCATGGCAATGCTACAGAGCACTTAAAGACCAGACTCGCGGTTACAGACTTTATTAGGGAACTAACAGGTTGCAATTCGGGATCGGGTGCAACTCGGGATGCAGTCCTCCAATCAGGATAGCTTTCCTGCCACCCTGCAGGTAGACCTCTCTGCCAACAGCTCCGTGGCCCCTCAGCATCTGCCCTGTTCAGGTGAGTGCTCCCCCAGGAAGTTCTGAGGCACCCCACTCAGCCTGTCCGAAGGCACTTGGCTTTCTTGTTCTGTGGGCACCCGAGTCCATCAGAGAACTTCTTGCACAAGGTGGTTGACTTTCTAACTCCGTGAGCTGGGAAACCCAATACAGTGAACCCTCGTTTATCGCGGTTAATCGGTTCTAGACCCTACCGTGATAAATGAAATTCCGCGAAGTAGGATTCCTTATTTGTAAATCAAATATTTTCGTAGTTAGAGCATAGAGGACATGAAAAAACACCCTTTAGTCACCATTACACTCGTATTACCCAATTTATTAAACGAAAAAGGGGAAATACAGTAAAACATTTTGGACGTTACAATTATCATTTATTATTTATTATATTATTTATGGCATCAAGCGTGTACAGTATAAGCCAATCAGTGGCAGTAATGACAGAGCATGCGCTGTTACGCAAAACCCGCGATAGAGTGAAGCCGCGGAAGTCAAAGCGCGAAGTGGCGAGGGTTCACTGTATTCCATCTCCTGTTGGTCTGGTGTTGTTGCTGCTGGCTCTCGGCGACTCCTTCTCACCGTCTCGAACCTCTTCAGTGTTACAGTTCAGTCTCCTGGGTCTACAGGTCCTTGGCTTAGGGACCCTGGGTCCGAAGGATGCACTCCACTCCCAGGTCTTCCTCCTTGGTCGTAAGCAGGCTGCCTCTCTGCTTGCTTCTCCTTTGATTTTTCCTAACAGCCTAATCCTCATTCACATGACCTAATCCTGCTTCATTAATGTGCAGAAGTCAGGATGGAGACTAAGTAGATTGGGTCATAAAATAGAAGATAGTCACACAACCCTGGGAATCACACAGGACCTAGCCAAGTTGAAACCATCAGAGGTTTCATACATGTTTTTTGCGTGCTCCCACCTAATCTTTACATGGGAGTCACAAAGACTATACAGGTAAAAGGATCACATTAAGTAACCCAAAGTGCCTTGCAGAGAAGCAAGAAAGATTTGCAGCATGGGCAGTGGCCCAGGGGCCTCAAGTGGAATAAGGTATCAGCCAGGATGCATTTGGCCATGACATACATTGAAATGTATAGGATAGACCAGAAAAGGGCAATATTCCAGCCTACCGTCCTTACTTTTGTTAGGCCCTGTTCGTTATGTGTCCTCTGCAGTTGAGGTCATGTGAGTTGCCCAACAGGTCCCACGTATTTCTCCCGCCAGCCTGAGCTTCGGCTGCTCCTGTTGGCTTAGGGTTGCTGATGGGTAGCATTTAACTTACCACTAGACATGGAAATACCAAGGTGGGAAGGGCACCTG